TGTCCACGGATCAATAGTGTGCAGTAGAGCGCGTTCGTAAGCTCAGTTCTCCTGTTCCGCAAAACTTGACGAACACGACTGCTACTGTTGTCTTTTAAAATTTTAGAATCTGAGGAATCAGACGTCAAATCATCTACTTCTTTTAGGCAAAAAGAAGAATGACCACTGCAAAGAGCCCTAGATAAGGAGCGCGTGGTTCGAGCACTTCATCATCGGAAAAACTCGGACTTACTGTAGTGTCAAGGAGCAGAAGTATGAACATTGTGCCTACATCTACCAACTTTTCACAACCTATGGAGTAACCCTACTTAAACTTTTCTAAGAACGAAAAATGAGAGCATCTCTAATTTAGTTCTACACACGTTGCCTGGATGATCGTTAGGGTGGCGTTAGAAATAGCATGACATCGGAGGTTGTCGATCGGCGTACATGAAGCGTAAACAACCAGCGTATTTATTAGAGAGCACTACACGCAAATAGTCCTCGTGACAGGGAAAGAAAAGGAAAACAAGCAGCGATGAGGGAGTAAGTGAAGGAGTAGGGTCAAGTGTACGTGGACGAAGCTTAACACGAGGGTGGTACTGGCTACTAGTTGAGGAAGTTGTAGCTGTCTTTCTGTAGGCAGCGCTCGGATTTGCAATGTAGATTAGTAGAGTACGCTCGGCATATAAAGCATTTAAAAAGTGAAGGGTCGAAATTTGTGTGGGCAAACTTTAGAGGATATCATCAACTCAAAAGATCTGGATGAAGTAAATCACTCACCACTACTTTCTTCCTCTTGGACGAGGGGTTTCCCTGTGCCGTCGTCGGACATTTTGCGGACCAAACATCACATAAACACAACTACGTGAATAGAATAGTGAGCAAGAAGACCAAACATCGTCTNTAACGTTTCCATGCCTCTAAATATACCCTGGCGGAGAGGTAGGATGCATTTCAGCTCAAATGAACGCACCTCTCTGAAAATTGGAGAAGAAGCTCTAGGCAGCAAACAAAAAGAAAATTACGAAGGCACAGCTGCTAAAAAAATCGCACTCTTCTTTTCGTAGTTGATTTCAGAGAAATTAGAAATTCTCGGGGTAACCTTCCCGTTTGGTGTCAGCGGCAGAGGCGCAGTACGACGCAGTAAGCCGTGCAGACGACTTACCAAAGGGTTGAGTCATCTGTTCTGAGGGGCCCCAGAACAAACTGGAGAGACAGCATAACCTGAGTTCGAGACCTTGATACTGTTTCTTGGCCGTTTCCTATACAGATAATCTTTGCCACAGTCATCCTGGCACTTGTGCACCTCTCTCAAGTTTGTCTCCAAAATCAAGTTTTCGTGAGCCGAACCGTAAATCATCGACCTGGCCAGGTGAAGTTTGATTCTTTCAAAAAAGGGACAGGGCGAGGCTATAATTAGGTAGGAGAAAAACTTTGATTCCGCTCTTGACACTCTACACAAACAATGAGGTCATGCCACGTAATTTTGTTAAGAATGACCCTGTTATTGTAGAATTACCGCTATATTTGCACACCACAGTCTAGAGCAATATTTAGAAGACAGCGAGAGAAGGAGGAGTTTGAAAAGTCTCGAGAAGTTTCTCCCAGTTGGTGAAATCAGCTCCCACCAAAACTATGTAAGGTGACAACCGATGGATCCCAAGTCAACAATGACAAGATTAGACTGGAGCGATACTGCGGTTTTTTTTGCGGGATATACTGCACAGATACAAAATGACATGGTCTACGATTAAAATGAGTATGGCATTTGAACGTCCCGAACCTTTTGGCTGTCGCTCTTGATTAATAAGAACAATCCTTGAAAAACCTTTGGCATAGGTGTATCATTGGGGAATGGGTAATGTATGGCACATCTGAACGGTGTAGCAGGCTGTTAGACAACTATGTAGTAGGGAATCGCTGCGCTAAAACAGATTAAGAACAAGAACACGCAACTAATTGCTCCTACTTTTGATTTAAACTCTTACTGCAAATTAATAGATTCACATTAAATTTCAGTCTCACACAGTGGGCTGCCAAGGAGGACCTTTATCGACCAGGTTACTTATTCAACACGAATCCATCCTGGACAGCACCACCGTCTACGTATGGGGCCGTGACTTCTCCATTCTGAACATCTTGATGAGTTAGTGACAGGCAACTACCACCATACTGCTCAACAAAGGCCCAAATTAACCGCAAGAGTGTGAGAGTGTTTGCAAATAACAACCTTTCTTCGACCGTTCAATTCAAGCAAAGGGCCTTCCAATTTTTGCTTTTACGGAGTTCGAAAGAAGTGATAGATCGACAATCAGACACTACGATCGCGTGGGACTATGTAACTACAAGTTAGCACTTCCTTGTATCCTGAGCCTCCTACATCTCTCTCAAGAGAAGTTTCAATCGATAT